AAAATCACACAATTGAAGCATGTGCTCCATCTCAACTAAAAGCCTAAGCTGATAGTTGGATTGCACATTAATGGCTATATGCTCAACACGCCCCTCACGTGTGCGATGGGTTCTAAGCAACACGTGGACCGTAGTCGCTTATAGGTGGCGTTGAGATTCGAACCCATGACCTTTGGTCTGGCTCTGATACCAAACACACACTAACACCTGAACTTTACAAGTCACTAACTGGATCATAAACAGCAGGTGCCAACCCAAAGTCAAAGTTTACTGATCAAGAAAATAATTGTCTTTGTCAACATTTAGATTAAATCTATTGCAATGAATTACCTTAAAAGTTGAAACATCCATTAAAAAAAACTCTAAGCTTTAACAAAAGTAGGGTAATCAATTAATTACTAAACCCCAGAAGCATGAGGTTAGTTCTTACTAATTCTGTACTTGGCCTACCTAATCACAGAACAAAGTTCCAATGCAAATACAGCAAGAAAGAAGAAGAATCAACTGAGTTATCCAATAGAAAGCTGATAAAAAGGATATCCTTTAGGCTTTAACCCAACAATCCAGCATAGAAAAGCATAAACAGAGAATTTAATGTTTACCTTTTCTCTGTACATGGTTTTTAGCCTTCCAGCCTCCTCTTCCATAGGTTGATCAAGTTTTTGGTCCAAAACCCACATCCCTCCCTTAGTTTCAGTGGAGTCTTCATCAAATTCCATTGTAGAAGCCTCTGTTTTTTACAGAAAAAGTTTATTCCACTGGTGATAGAGCTATAGAAGGCGGCTATACAAGCTTAAACAGAAGGAAATCCAACAAGAATTCCCACTCAATTAATTACAAGCATCCAAGAAAAAGGTGCAGAGCAAAGCTGGTACTTTTACCAAAAACCCCCACACCCAGCACTATACCTCACATACATGATACACCTATATTCAATAGAAAGAAAAAAAAAAAAAAAGATTTGTCTTTTACTCGGCAATTGGTACAGGAATTTCCCCAGTGGGGTCAAGCTGAGAACCCCAACTCCAATCAATTCCAACCACACAACACAACACCCCAAACCCAACCCAATAGGCAATCGGATTGAATCACCTGAAATGAATGAACCCCGTTTCTTTTCTTGCTTTTTTTAGCTCGGGATTTTCAACCCATTTTTTGCTTTGAAAGAAACGAGCTTTGGTTAGAAGGACGGAAAAGAAGTCTCTGAGAAGAGTGATTATTCAGGGCAAATTCTTTCTGCACTTCAAATTTTACCAAACGAAAAATGTTATCTTTTCTCTCTCTCTCTCGCAATCAGCTGGTATGATGAACACAGCTAGACAGATGGGCAGCGCCGCAGAGGATGGGGACGAGATAGAGAGAGTCGGAGAGTGGTCGTTGTCAGTTGTGCGAATCTTCCCGGAATCATTACCAGATGCGACAACCTTGTGATTTAAGACTGCAAATCTGGGTTTAACGTTGCTTACTGTACTTTACTCACTCTTCTAATGTTCTAATTACTCTCTATTAAAGATAACAAGTCAACGTGCTCTTCTTGTGTGCTTTTCATTTTTTATTTTTTATTTTTTTTTTATCCTAGGATGCTTATAATTTTTAAGTTATCACATACTCCGTGTAAATTAATAATGTATTTTAATTGGAACAATATTTATATTATTGATTATTTTCATAAATTAAGTAATCATAAATAATAAGAAGGAGAAATGACTCATTATGCTACGAATAATTTAATTGAGACATACAAATAACATTTAACATGACAATATATGATATGTGTGGGTTACATATGTATACATAGCAAACTATAATATATAATAATCTTGCTTCTAGCTTAAATAGATATGAACGTGACTTACAGTTACTAGAATTTCTTTTAACGAAGATACGCTGAGTATTAATTGATGATGCTATTGGAGAATACACGATACTGATAGTAGGTTGAGTTAATTGAGTTTCTCCCTTCCTCTTCACTTTTTTTTTTTTTTTTTTTTTTTTTTTTTTTTTTTTTTTAAGATGAACAACTCTCAATATTTTATAAGAACAAAAGATTGTTGGCATTGAGCATATATAGAAAATATTTAATAATAATAACCATAAAAGGGAAGTCATAATGTAATATGCATAATTACAATAAAAGATTGTTGGTATTGAACAAATATAGAAATATTTAATAATAGCCATAATAGGAAGTAATGTACTAATATACATAATTAAATACCAAAGGTAATTAATAAGGAATAATCTAATTTTGTGATCTCTTCTAAATTTACCTCTTAAATTTACTCTTAAGTTGTAATAAAACTTTATATTCATTGAAAAATCATGAATTGACTTATTACATCAAGAGTTTATATATATATATATATATATATATATATATATATATATATATATATATAGAGAGAGAGAGAGAGAGAGAGAGATTTTATGGTTTTGATTTGATTATGAGATTTAATTTAAGTTATTTATACCCTTTTTCTTATATTTAATTTAGCATTGATATATAAAATTTATAATATAAAAATCACATTAAACATATTAAAGAATACTTATTTGATGACAACTAAAATGAATTGAATAATGTATTCAACAAATTAAATTAAATATTGGCATGGTTTGTGGTCCACTGGTATCCAGTTTGGTCCCTTATGTGGGAGGTTTAGTGTTTGAGCCTTAGTGTAGGTGAATATTGTGTATATGTTGGGTGTCCCCCTTCCTTTAAGAAAAAAAAAACAAATTAAATGAGTATAGTAACATATTAATTTCAGATTGTGTTATATTTTGTGAATTACATTGATTGGATCATTGCCTAATCATATCGTATGTATATAGACCAAATTTGACATACACAACGTTTACTTGATAAATGATAATAAATAATAGACAAATAATTTATTATTTGTGTATTTGTGATTTAAGTGAAATGGGTTTCAGATTCAATCCCTTTTAAATATACTTTCAAATATGAACATTACAAATAGCGCAATAAGCATCAAGGAAGACCTATTAAATGAGATTTAATAACAATTTGACTTAAAATTAGCAAAAGATTCAATAAAAAAAAAAATTCGAATAATAGGTGTAAGCAATGAATCATAGTATTATACAAAATAATACTCCTTAATAATAGTGGACAACCTCATATGTACTCCAGGAATTGGACTCAGGACATTAAGAACACTGGCTATCAAACTAACAACAACAATAATAAAATGGAACAAATTCATTAAAGTTGATTGAGCGGTTGGTTTAATAACTACAAGATTCTAAGTTCAAATTCCAATAAAAACAATAGTATACACCTTTAAATAATAGTTGCGATTTTCATTATCATCTAAATAATAATAATAAAACTCAATAATATATAGGCGACTTTAGTAGCAGGAAATAAGAGACAATAAGATCTCAATAATTAAACTAAGTGTCATAGGTGTTGGACACAATAGATAAACATTTTATATGGGGGAGGTTTGCTAGAAGCTATGGCTTTTGATTTTTATATGTTTTAGTAGGTTTTTGATGTAATGTGGAATTTAAAAGTTTGATAGATTTTTGTTTTGGGGTGTTGGACAAGGGAGGTCCACATGCAATTGATAGGTGTTTCTAAAATATAGTGCCTCTTTTTTTTCTTCTCAAAAATAATGGCAATACCTAACATATGAATGATTGTGTGTACTAATTTAATATGATATTATGTGAGGTTGCATCTATCTGGTGGGCGCATATATATAAATTATAATAACATGATTTATATATATATTTTTTGTTATAAAATCAGATAGTTAATGAATATTGTTGTTGAATCCTAGACTTGGGGTGTCCACAATTAAGTGAAAAGGTTAGGCTTGAAGATCAAACAACAAGAATAATGAAGATATAATAGTAAAATGGTAGTCATTTTAGTTGTAACTTTTTAGACCAATTAATGGGAGAAGATAGGGTGGCATAACATTCTAGAGTATGGTTATGTACACCTTCCCCCTTATGCATTCTGCCCGTCTACTTGGGTGCCACGTATCCTAGACGTAAGGATACTCCTCTGCCCAATAAACCACCAGAAATATTATCTATTTCACTAAAAAATATTAATAAAAGTTAAATTCATGATTTTTAGATACAATAATTATACTATACTTAGTCATTCATTTCAAGGCATAAAAGTTGTATTCTTATTAGTATATGATGGGTAAATGCGTAGTAAGACTACCCAGTCAGTAGGATCCCAATATAGTGCCACTTAGTCAGTAGGATCCCGACAGAGTGCCACGCGGTCCATATGATTCAAACGGAGTGCTACTCGATCAATAGGAACCCAACATAGTGTCACCCGGTTGCACCGCTCGTATTGAAAAGCCTGGTGATGTGTAAAGACGCTCCAGGATTACCCGTGAAGTCGGCCAGTAGAGTGCCACACGGTCGGTCCGTCAGGGCCACCCGGTCGGTTTGCTGCTTGACCCACTTTGCAAGTTGGAGGGTTTAGCTTATGCTACAAGTAAAGGAGATCCACTTGTGCCTGCAAGGAGGGTGGCTGACATCGTGCATAAATGATGATTCTATCACCTAAGCAATTAGTCTACGAGTAAATGCAGAGCTACCGACTGAGCAGACCAACGTGAGCGCGCCACGTCAAGCAACTTGCATCTGGATCATTAAATGCACAACCGACTTACTTAGTATAAATAGGGAGGGGGGGGGGGGGGGGGGGGGGGTTTCCTCCCCTCACTTGTGAGATCCATCTCATTGTAATAACAACACATCACTTGTAATATTCAGTACTCTGTAACATCACACCACTTGTGATTTACCATACATTGCAATATACTTCACTTGTAATTGCTCGTTACTTGTAATAAAACATTGCCTCAAATCGCTCAGTAGTCACCCGGTAAACCAACGATCAATTGACCAATCGAGTGTCCTCTTTTACTTGTTTGCAGCATACATATTCGTAGCATAGTTGTAACCGCCGGTTTCACTTATGCTATTAGTATATAATTTTGACTATAATACCCCTCTCAAATCTATGTCTCTAATTACTATCAAGATTTCTAATTTTGATATGACTATTCAATTTCTTCAATATTTGGTCACTTTTCAATTTTTTTGACCAACCTAAACTGAAAAATAAGTACAAAATAAACTGAACAAAAAAAAAGAAGAAGAAGAAGAAGCAAGGCAATCTTGATAGCCAGGGGCCTAATTTGAAAAGGATATTATAGTTGAGGGGTAAAAATGAAAGAAAGAAATCTATTAGTATATTGTATATTAGAATGCTCCAACATGCATGTTCTCTCTCCTTGTAAATATATATAACAATATTTATAACTTCATTATTCAAAAATAGCTTATAATAAATTTATTATAAATAACAGTAGAAATATATCATTTAATCAAATATATTAAATGGTGTTTGGTAAAATAGCTGTTAGCTACTTAGCTGATTGATGGTTAGTGGATTTGACTAGTTGATAGCATTAGCTGATTGTAAAAAGATGTTTGGTAAGTTAATTGTTAGTTGATATCTGATTACATACAAAATGGCTTTCTAAAAAAGTTGTTTTGAGCAGTTTTTTGAATTTCAGTGTTTTCGAGCAATAAACTGATACAAAAAACTAATTAATTAAAGTTGTTTAACCAAGTCAAACATCTAATAGTGGTCAAACAATCCAAAATTGGTTGATAGACTAACTATTTTACCAAACAGGATCTATATAACTCTCTTAAATTTGTATGCGTAAGTTGAAACATGATTTTTTTAAACTTTTTATTTTTGTGATGAAGAAAACGTACAATCACTATTCAAATGTGTGCACAAACTATGCTCATGTGTAATAACACGTAAATTACACACACACACACACACACACACACACACACACACATATATATATATATATAAGGTTAATTGTACTAGAAAGATCATGTACGACAAGCTTGAACGAAAAGATATTGATAATAATAAACTCATGACATTTGAGTAGATACTCTAATTACTTAATCATCTCTTTTTAGGACAAACAGACAATATTTTTGGGATCTACGGAGTATATTGAATACTAACATCGTTGCAGATTGTTTAAGAAACATAATTAATGGCTCCACTAATAAGTGCAATATAATTGGTGTTTGGCAAATAAAGAATACCAAATGGCATAATAATAATTAATACACCGCATGATCTTCATCAAATATTTTACTCTCATTCTAAAATATTCCTTTGAATTCACTTCCTCGTACATGCGTGATTGATCGTTACCTTTTGTATAAAATATGGTTTTATAGATTTTGACTTTTAAAATAGAGCAATTCCGTTTATCTTTACCATAATAAAAACAAACTCATACTAATTTTTATTTAAGTAGCACATTATGATAAATGATAAAACAAAGCACAAAAAAAAAGGAAAAAAAGAAAGCAAAGTACGAAATTTGAAGAAAATGTACAAATATTAAAAAAGAATATAAGTGTGTATTTGTAAATATTTTTCCATTAAATATGTTTAAACACGAGTTCATTTCTTACTTTCCAAAAAGCCCGCATAGAAAAATCAAGGAAAGAAGGGTGTTGATTGAGTTCATCTATAAGAAGAGCCCAACGCCCCTCTTTCTTAATTTCTTCAAATAATTGTTCATCCAATGTTCTCACTTCTCACACCAGATGTGCAATAAAAGTAGAATCTAAGACTCTTATAAAAGGAAGCTCTTTTTGAAATTTAGTTGTTTTCTTGTATTGATCTATCAAGAATGATGAAGTGGCTTAGAAAGGAATTGTTTGAAAAACAAGCCATTAAGTATACAATTTATGATGCCCATAAACTTTAATTTAAAAAATAAAGCCTTGTGTTGGCAAACTACCGAATGCACGTGCCAACAATACATTCAACTATCTTAAAAATGTACTTTTTGTTATGGTCCATACAGCACTGTGTGGACCAACAATTTATCTAGGGACTTTGAGCCTTTGATTCTTTGGGCCAAAAAAGTTTAAGAACATATACAATAGACTAATATTTCTGGCAAATTATTGTGTGGATCATGGTCCACACAATGTTATGTGGACCATAATAAAAAGTACATTTTTAATATACTAAATGTACATTATTTTTGTACTGAATGTATATTATACAATATAATGTATACTCAAAATAAAAATAATGTACATCCCCTGAATACAGTGTACATCATTTTTGTACTGAATGTACATTATTTTTGTATTGAATGTACATTATTTTATAGTTGACAAAATATGGTCCACACAACTTGTGTAGACCATGGTCCACACAATAATGATTGAATATTTCTTATGCGCGATGCACAAAAAATAGATGCCCAATATTAATATTTTATATTAAAAATTTAAATATATTTAGATTTTAAATATTTAAATTATTGTAAATAATAATAATAATAATAATAATAATAATAATAATAATAATAATGTAAAACATTTTTATAAATTTAATATTTATATTTTAAGAAATAACTAATATATAATCCCAATATATAATGTGTATATTATTCTCCCAAAAGGTTGAATCCCTAATCCTAAGCAACCCCCTTCCCTCCCCCCCCCCCCCCCCCCCCCTCCGACCCGACAGAGCATGGTGGATAAAAAATAAGAAAATATATGGTGGATACATGTGTATGATAGCAATAGTGGAAAAGATAACAGAAGTTATAACGGTGGGGGTATGTTTGTCCAAAATATTGTATAGTACAACATTTATAGCATAATGTATCATAAAACTTAACGGAAAAAACGGACATAAATGAAGAGTATAACCTCCATCCACACTTATTATGTTTTTAGATATTACATGGTAAAGAATTATGAGTGTTTCAAAAAAAAAAAAAAAAAAAAACAATATAACCAAGGTTGGGGAATAAAGTAGCGTGCAACAAAAATATGTACTTGTTGATAAACTTTTTTAATTTTAATTTTTTAAAGTTCAACATCGGAATAATAATTTATTTTTTTTCTCACTTCATTACACAAAGAATAAAAATTGACATATTTTAAAGCCATGTTAACAATATTATATCATAAATAATGGATAAAAAAATTCGTAGAATAATTAAAATTTATTAATATAGAGAGTTAATTACCGAAATGGTCCATTGACTATAGCGAAATTATCAATTTGGTCCTTGACTATTTTTTTGACCAATTAACTCCCTCAACTTTAAAAATCTTAACCAATTTGATCCTCCTTTAGTCAACCGTTAATTTGGGACTAAATTGGTAATTCGCTATAGTCAAGGGATCATTTTGGTAATTAACTTTAAGGGTGGGCAATCCGGTTCAGTTTTCTTGAACCGAACTTACCAAACTAGCTAGATTTGGTAATATACCGAACAACCGAACGGTAATAGATTCTTGTATACCGAACGGTTCAGTAAAAACTCGAAGTCTCTAACCGAACTGAATTGTTCGGTAAAAATTGAATAGAACCGAATACCATTTGATCTTTGGATTGCTATTTTGTTATATATTAGACTTTGGATATGGACCATGTAAACACCATAACACATAATATAGAACTTTAGATAACAAACCATAAAGAAATCAAATAAAACATTTATGAGAGATACCCGTGAGAATATGAACTGAACGACAGATCAATCAGCAAGGGACTTGAATTTACTTTTCATTTATTTATTTATTTGTTTATTATTATTATTATTATTATTATTATTATTATTATTATTATTATTATTATTATTATTATTATTATTATTATTATTATTGTATATTTTTAAAAAATCAAATGATATTCGGTTTAGTTCAATTTTTTACCGAACAATTCGGATCGGTTCAGATCGATTTTTTATTGAACCGTTCGGTATACAAGAATCCAATACCGTTCGGTTGTCCGGTATATTACCGATCCAAACTAGTTCGGTTCGAGAAAACTAAACTAACTGAATTGTCCACCCCTAAAGTTAATTACCAAAATGGTCCCTTGAATATAGCGAAATTACCAATTTGGTCCCAAGTTAACGGTTGACTAACGGTCAAATAGTTGACCAAATTGGTTAAGATTTTTTAAGTTGAGGAACTTAATTGGTTAAAAAAATAGTCAATGACCAAATTGATAATTTCGCTATAGTCAATGAACCATTTCGGTAATTAACTCTTAATATATAGTTTGTGTAAACAGGATATAATCTATATAAGGAATGGTACTAGGTTTTGGTCTTCTTATTATTTTCTTCAAAGTTAATGTGAGATGATTAATGTGTGCGTGTGTGACGTATATATATATTTATGAGTTTGGATAACTGTTTCACTAGTGACGGGCACACGCAAATAAATGTAAATGTCCTTAATTTTAGTCAATTTTTTTGGCTAAGAATAATAATGATGCGGGCTTTAACCTTATCTGCAAACAAAAATTCCACTACGATAAGGCCATCTGATCTCGCCAGATATTTCTGTAGGCATCCATTTACTTAGCATTACTTTGTCCATGTGTTAACCCCTTTTTTGTTAAAACATCCAAATTAAATATTCAATAACCTAAGGCATCCCTTCCTTACTGTTGAGCATATATAATATCATAAATGTGAAATTCAATTATTAGTTTAGACTTTTAGTTGAGATGGAATACATGTTTTAATTTAGTATCAGAGTTATGTCAAAAGTTATGGATTTAAACTCTTAATATTTGATTAAAGATAGATGGGTCTCTTCCACTCAATCACACCCCAAGTTTTAGTGTTTTACATAGCAATATATGAATTGGTTGATGTATTAATTTTGGAATCCAACTTCATTAATCAATCTATTTGGACTATATATTAAGGTGGCATGATGGCATCGAGTTGCGTCTAGAACTGAATAACGATCTAACAAGCTTATCTAAATCAGAATTGACGCGGACAACAATTGATATTATAAAACTCCCTTTTGATCTATAAATTTATTTATTCCTTCTCACATAAAAACTAATGATAAATATTCTTCTTCCCACTAATGATAAATATTCACTCTTCATTCTTTTAAACCTAAGAACCTCCCACACTGCGGCCCGACAGAGCATTTGAGAGGATGTAAATTATGATAACTCAACTGAACATAAACTACAGAGTATTTGGGAGGATGTAAATTATGATAACTCAACTGAACATAAACTATAGAGGCTAGACATTTGCTTACTGCGCACAAGAAGTCCCCCTCACAATATTCACTCTTCATTCAGAGGATGTGTGGTTGATTTTATGATTTTTATTTTATTTTTAAATTTTGCTAATTTTCATAAGGATAGTTGGGTTGATATTAACGCTTGTTTTAAATATATATAGTATTTTATATAGTTGTAATGCATGATTGTAGGGAAGAAATTTATGGTAAGTTTAAATTTCTTTGGTGATGTAGTCTTTTTTCTTTTTTTAATTGTCTATCGTTTGAGTTTAATATTATCTATATTTGTAATTGATTTGTGTAGTTTTTGAGAGAATGTATTAGTGTGCACTGTGGGCTCAATTGGTGCATTTGCAATGTCGGTCTCCGTTGTTGCGTTTTCGTCAATGTGTGCACCTCATTGTGGCCTAGTGTGCATTTTGTGTTCATGTGATATGTGTGTGCATTGTATACTTGGCGTGCGTGTACCATAGTACATATGTGTACGCATTTGCTTGTGGTGGTGCATGATGTGTATGTGTGCATTTCATTGTGAACGTGTGCAAAGTGAAATTTTAGAGTGTATAGTGTAATGTATAAGTGTAGCGTGTGTATACACGATTCTGGAAACATTGCATGGTGCACGTGATATTGTGCTTGAGTGCACACAGTCGCCCAAAGCACATCACAACACCCCATTATTATTTAAATGAAAGGATTTAATAATATAGAAACTCCTATTTTGTCATTGACTTACCTATGAGATGATTTAAGTGAGAACATGCTTCTAGGTACAAAGTAAGGATTGATATGATTTATCCATTTGAGTAGATCAACTGCAGATGGTTGTTAAAAATAAAGAAAAAATAGCAGGTTAGTTTTATAAATATTACAAACTTTTTAATTATAAAATTGACCCATATATATATATATATATATATATATATATATATATATATATATATATATATATATATATATATATATTGTTTTTTTTACTACAATCTTCAACTATTGATGAACCTTAATGGACGATCGTGATCCGTCATAATTTTTTACAAGATAAGTTGTAGTCATTTGAACCTACTCCATATATAATTTTTAGATTTTTTTTTTAAATTACCAATAATTTGAGATCTAACATACCCGCAACTTCTAATTTCTTGACAAATTTAGTATTACTTAAAAATTGCTCTCTACTTTCTCACATGGGAAATTAAAGTTTGCTAGAATGTCTAAAAATTAAATCATTTATAACAATATGGACTGAATATGATGAAATATTGAAAATAGGAGACTACAATTTCTAAAAATAATAATACAAATAAAATAGAAGTATAAATTTGCCAGCCTAACCCAAATGTAGTGGCAGACAAGCTAGCCTCGACGGCTCTCAAATTCCAAGCTGGCTATCGAGACCTCCAGGATGCACCCGTAGACCTTTTGAAAGACCTCAAGCTTGATTAGCTGGGAGCGGTGGCCTTCAGGCGTATTTGATTCTCGAGGGTTATCCCCTCTCCTTTTAATAAAAAAAAATAAATAAATAAAAAGAAGATAAAGTGAAATCAATACTGTTTCTTCGTTGCCAAAATAAAAAAAAAAAAAAATTCAATACTTGTACAACATAATATTAGTGTGACATTTGATGAATGAGATTTCAAAAACAATTTTTTTTTTTTTAAAAAAAAAAAGTACCGATAGTTTTGTTCAATTAAAAAAAAAAAATAAAGAAAGAAAGAAAGCAAAAGCAAAACACACAACCATTACCATACGATCCTAAGATAGCGATGGAGCAAACTTAATTGGCTTATGACTACACGTGGACCGACCACATGCCTCTACTATAAAACATTAATTATATGGAGATTGAAAAATCTCCCTTGTACTTACCAAAAAACCCATGAGTATTATGAGGGTGGGGGGCACAGGGCATGTGCATCTTATTCTATTCTGCCTTATTTTTCGTATTTTCATATTTTCTCTATATTCCTTATCACGATAGCATGTCATTGATAATAATAGATAACACATTAATATTTATTTTCTCCTTCGATCAATGAAAAATATATACGTGAAAGTTTTTGTCAAAATTATTAATAAATTATATTTATGAGTTTTTAATCAAATTAAAATTGGATGCTTCAAAGTCTTCACGAGTAGTTTTGATTGGATACGCTTTAGTCTCTCATTAATCGTGAAATATTAATTGACATAGAGAAAATTCAATGAGAAAGTGAAAGTTTTATATGTATATTAGAATTCTAAAACGAGAAAAAGTTATGTAATGAGATAAGTTTCTCCTTTTAAGTTAATGTTGATGATCAATCACAAGCCGCTACAACAATGGTGTGTTTAGAAATTGCTTTGGGAAGTGTATTAGTGGTTTCACCATTGGTGTGGCCGTGTGGACATCTCCTCCATTGATCGACTTTTTATTTTATTTTATTTTTTTGAAAACACCATTGGACGATTTATCATGGACTTTCGTTAACTAAGTTGACAAAGATGATTTAGAAATATGATAATTATTAAAATTGTCTTGTTACCGGAGACTCAAAAGATCCAAGAAGTTGAGATACAAGGGATCAATACTTCCATTCGATGTTGAAAAAATCGCTAGGTGCCTTCTAGGCGCCTGGGGACCGCCTAGAGTGCCTAGAGCGCCTAGGAGGCCGACCGCCTAGCACCTAGGCGTGATTTTTGCAACACTGTTTCCATTGATATCCTAGAGGAGATCAGAGCACTCATGTAATAATAATGAACTTTTTCAAATATATATATATATATATATATATATATATATATATATATATATATATATATATATATATATATATATATATATATATATATATATATATATATATATATATATATATATATATATATATATATATATATATATATATATATATATATATATATATATATATATATATATAGTGAAAGGTTCCCGTGCGGTTGAAAGGTTCCCCGTGCGGTTGTGCGGTTATTAATGTGCGTGAGATTTGTACTCAATGTGCGTGAGTGTTGTGTCTAATGTGCCTGAGATTTGTACTTAATATGCGTGAATGTGTAAAATGCAGCAGAAAATATGGATATCAGCTTCTTCCCCATCCCCAGTAGCCATTGGCCCCTCCCTGATAATGATGATCCATATTTTCGTGCAGTTGAAAGGTTCCCGTCCACCACCACCCAATTTCCCGGCCGAAATCTTTGTTTTCTACTCTCCAACCCCACTTTACTTTTCGTCTCAATTCAACCACCACCATGATAACCGCCCCAAGCACAATATAATGGTTTTGTAAGTGCCCTGAATAGTGAATACCACCATGGAAACCCAATCTGGACACCATCTTTTTGAATGGAGCGTTTGGGAGTATTATTTTCGGGAACTACTCACATATATTAAGCATAAATCTCACGCATATTAAGCACTATACTCAGGCACATCAAGTACAAAACTCACGCATATTAACATGACGCACATTAAGTACAAATCTCAGGCATATTAAGCACAACACTCACGCACATTAAGTATAAACCTCACGCACATTAATCCACCGCACAACCGCACGGGAAGCAACAAATGCACATGATCCCTTCCCTATATATATATATATATATATATATATATATATATATATATATATATATATATATATATATATATATATATATATATATAGGGAAGGGTTCAGGTGCGGGTATATCTTTCCATGCGGTTGTGCGGTTAGATCTGAGTCGTTGATCAAATCTAGATCAACGGCTCAAATCAATGAAAATTTTTAAAAAAAAAAACGCGTGTTTGGAAGTAAGAAGCATAAGCTAAAAATGACGCACCTTAAGTGTTAGATCTTAAGCACAAACTCACGTACATTAAGTACAAATCCACACACATTAAGCACAACCTCACGCACATTAAGCACAAAACCCACGCACTTTAAGTATTAACTCACAAACCTTAAGTTTTAACAACTACTGACATTGAGCACAAACTCACGCACATTAAGTACAAAACTCACGCACATTAAGCACAACCTCATGCACATTAAGCACAAAACCCACGCAATTTAAGTATTAACTCACAGACCTTAAGTTTCAACAACTACTGACATTAATCACTAACCTCACGCACATTAAGCACAAACCCTACGCACATTAAGCACAAACTCCACTCACATTAAGAACAAATCTCACGCACCTTAAGCACAAAAGCCCACACTTTAAGTTTTAACAACTACTCACATTAAGCACAACCCCACGCACATTAAGCACAAAACTCACGCACCTTACGCACAAGACTCACGCATCTTATATACAAAACTCACGCACATTAATCACAGAACCGCTCGCCTTAATTTTGACCTAGATGCAAAAATTACAAAATTGCCACCGCATTTTTTTTTTAATTTTGGTAATTCTGGACGTTGATTTAAGTGAGATGAATGACCCAAATTAAACCGCACAATCGCACCAGAACCTAATTATATATATATATATATATATATATATATATATATATATATATATATATTAAAGCTAAGGGAGGCAATAATGCTTCATCATCATTCATCTCTTCTAGGTCTTTATATTTTTTTGTCATCCTCTAAAAATATGAAACCGATCATTTTCGTAAAGATTATCAAGATAGACTCTCATTTGTAATTTTCTTCCTTGGTATATGAAGAAATATTATGTCATTAAATTGTTTCATCATGTTATAATATATTTCATTTATTTTCAGTTAATATAGGCAATGTTTGGTTCATGGGTTTACACACATGAATGAGAATCAAAATCATAATTAGTGTTTAGTTGACAATTTTTTAAAACACAACTATATATGGGATTTGATTACCCTTCAATTAAAAACTTCATTCTCTAATTAAAAACATGTATCATTCCAACTAATTATTAGCTACTAATATGATTTTTAAGTTTGGATTAGTGTTTTTAGATTTTAATTTTGTTTTGATTTTTTTTTATATTGGTGCTTTAGATGTCATCATATTAAGATAAATTTCCTTGATTTTTTTTTTTGTTTGTTTTTGTTTTTGTATTTTTAAAACCTTTATTCTCTTTATAGGGTTAAACATAACCAAATATCAATATTGATAATCATTCTAATTCCACCATACTACCAAACATGCAAAATACTTTCACCAAAATTCATTAACAAGTATTTGATTTTGATTTCGATTTCAATTCGCATGTGTGAACTAAACACACTCATAGTGTATTGTGTGAAAAAAAAGGGAGTATTATGAAGGTGGGGGACATAGGACATGTAACCTTATTGCATTGAACTTCATTTTTGTACTATAGTAGCTAGGCTCTAACAATAGCCAACAAGAGAGATGTTTACTTTATGTTTTTGTCAAATTGTCAACAACTTTAACCAACAGAAATATATTTAGTTTGTCAAATTGTCAATAATGACTCTAAGATGAGAGTTTTAATTTGATAAGTTTTGATGAGAGTATTGATATTTTATTATGGAAAATACTTGGTGTACTCCCATTTTAAACTCTCAATTTTTTTTTTTTTTTGGTAGGGATTTTAAACTCTCAACTTGTACTCCCTCTCACATGTTTTTGATGTAAAAATTTTTCTGTGGACCCACATGATTAAAAATAACCAATCCTGATTTGCCACCTCAGGAAGTATAAATGAGGGAGTAGAATTTTGGGAGTCTATGTAGTAGAACTTTTTTATTATTCATATATAATGAAATATTTATTGACGCTTTCATTAAATATACTTGGATTCAGTGATTTCTTTTGAGTCGTAGTTTTGTCAAATACTACACTGAATCAATAAGTTAATTCCGTACAGATAGTTGTGAATATTATTTCTTTCTTAGATGGTTTGCAGATCCAATTTCCTCTATTTTTACCATTATTCTATTGTTTCATTTATTGATACTCGTGCTCTAAAATTGACAATAAACTTAAGTTATATATTTACTAACAATACACGGTTACATATTATTTTACTCAACTTAATTTTATTGTGACCTATTTATGTACTAATTTTTTAGTAAATTGAGTTTGACTAAACTCGCCGTAAACAATGAAATATAAAATCATTCTTTTTTGAAAGCCAACCAATGAATGATTGTATTAATGAATCAAAGCTGCAATGCAGTCTAGGGGGATATAATCCCAATACATAGCTTGATCCTGATCAAATGCTAACGAAGCTAACGTATGCGCATGCGCATTAAGCTGTCTAGAAATATGATTGAAGATGACATTATTAAACGACGAAATTAAATTCCTACATTGGTCTATCAGCACTCCAACATAGGACATTATGATAGTCGATCTCTGCCGTATAGCATTCCTCAGCTGTAAACAATCTGTTTGAAGGGTTACCATTGTTATATCTTTTTCTAATAGCCAGGACAGAGCTTCCTTACATGCTAAAGCCTCTGCCATAAACGGTGACAAGCAATTGGGTAATCTTCCATTTTTTACCGCAAGGAAAGATCCCTCCGAAGACAAAAGCACAATACCGTATGTAGCTTCTCCCGTGTTTTCCCAGTATCCCGCATCCACATAACATCGTTGGGTAGTGTCCCTGTCTCCATCCGCCGTAACTGCTGTGTGGGGTGTCGAGCCGCGGCGGGCTACTTGCCGGTAAGACTGCAGTGCCGCCGTGGCCTGCGTCCAAGCCGCCATTGGGCGCGGCAATGTGGCGTCCCACACTGCTGAATTTCTGCATCTCCATATGCGATAAAATCATTCTTTATTATCTATACTATATAATAAATCAGTGTTGCAAAAATCGCGTTGCTGGCCGCGGCGATGAAGGCCGGAATCGGCCTCCTCCACGGCCACCTCTCCGGGTGAACCGGCGATTAAGTTTTTTTTTTTATTTTTTTATTTTTTATTTTTTATTTTTTAAGTTGTAATGTGTCAAAACTTCGGCACGGCATAACTTTTGACTCAGTTGTCCGTTTTGGACAAATGTTTTTTTGAAATCGCGTATTATTTCGAGATCTATCCATCGCAAACTGCCGTAGGCGGTTTGGCCCACCAATTTCTAAAAAAAATGTTTTATTAAATAGTTTATAAGAAAAAAATATGAGAACATTATATTTTATTAATGAATTTTTAAAATTTTTTTATTAAAAATTTGTCCCGTACATTATTTAATAATCTTTATTTATAATTTGTCAAATTATTTAATTATGGTAAATTAGGGAATAATTAATGATGGTAATAGAAATCCTAGAAGAATATAGAATTGAAGAATATGTAATTATTGTTATATTATTATTGCGACTCACGGAATACAATAGAAGAATATTTAATTATGGTTATATTATTATTGTGCCTCACGATCATTATATACTAACAGAACTTGAAAAGAAACTAATAATAATAATATAAGTGGTAATAATAATATCTAAAAGTAATTAAGTGTTAATAATAATAGTAAGAATATTAACTTAAGAATTATAACATAGATTAAATCGTAATAATTAATAACAATAGTCTAGGATTAAATTTAAAATTGTCAGGAAAGATAAGCGACCTCTGGTGAAATTAACTCTTAAATAATTATATATCAATTTAAATATTCTTAATATATTACAATAATTCTATTCCGTGCATCGCACGGGTGAAAATACTAGTTTTTCATATAAATTATATATTCTTCATACATTCATCAAACATGTTAATGATAAGTCAAGAGTTTGATTAATTTTTTCAACTTTCGAAATACTTAAAATTCTCAGTTCAAAGAATTTAAGTCCCCATCGCTGGGTTTGAACTTACGACTACCAATTTGAAATAGTAATCAGGATGCCATCACACTACAAGGTAGTTAGTATATATTTTTTTATATCTAATATTTAATTTATATTCTTTTGTATTTTTCATTAACCATTTTTTTTGAAAGATTTCATTAACCATTAATAATAATAAAAATATTATTATAAACTATTAATTGAATATAATATATGCTCTGTCCTATATTCAGAAATTTTAAATCAACGTGCCAGGCTTATAGCAGAATTTGCCTCGTCTGATCTCCTGCACGTTGAGGTTAGTTGGGGCTAATTTTATTGTATACAATAATTATACACTGAAAAAAATATATGGAAAAGGCTCAATGAATTTTTTTAAAAAATAAATAAAAATTGAAGCAAAGCTAAAAACTATTGGATTTTGAAAAAAAAAAAGTGTAATTTTAACCCTTTAATTATTAGCGTTATTAGTTGTTTTAGCATTTAATTATTAAAGGTGAGTAAATGCCAATCTCAATTATTTTAAATAATTGTGATTTTGGCTGCATATCAGCCACATCGCGTTTTTTTTTTTTTTTTTTCTTAAATTAAAATCAGTTTATGTT